ATATCTTCATCCTTCGAGCAGTTCTACAGCTTGCCTCTCAGGAGGCCCGTTACAAGGCCTTTGGGACATGTGTGTCTCACATAGGTGCTATCTTAGCTTTCTACACACCTGTGGTCATCTCCTCAGTCATGCACCGTGTGGCTCGCCAGGCTGCCCCTCATGTCCACATACTCTTTGCTAATTTCTATCTGCTCTTCCCACCCATGATTAATCCCATCATCTATGGTGTCAAGACCAAGCAGATTCGCAAGCGAGTCTTAGGACTGTTCTCAAGAAAGGATGTATAAATGGAGAGTTAGGGACAGGTGGAAAAAGAGTGGGACAGACTGAATGCTGAACTGGGGGTGGGGGTATGATAGGAAGTGGAGGGATGCCAGTTTAGTTCTTTCCTGGTGTAATGAAAAAACTTAATGATGTCCTGAAACTCAGTCACCAGTCTGATCAGGACTCATGGGGCTGTATTCTTTGGTAGCCTTTGAATTCAAAGGCTGACTGCTGACTTTGCTGCCTTCTCAAAGAGCCCACTCTATTAGGAGGCTTGACAAAGGTTTGACCCACTCTCCTCTTGGTAACATCATCTAAAGACACAAAGATGCTTTCAAGTTCATTTAATAAGACTGTGAGAATCTGAGTTTCTATTCAGAGCCACTGGGATCATGAACTGGGAAAGACCAACATTTCATCTGAAACAAGAGTACCTATACAGTTTGAAAGTTGATGTCCAGTATCTAGCTAAATATTACCAGTTTTGGCGAACTCATAATCTTCCTGGGCTACAGGTTCCAAGTCAGACAGTTTTGCTTGTTAAAATTTATTTCTTCAGTTGAGTCAGCCTATGTATTCTTTGACTTATTTTGACCTCTATATTCTCATGACCAATCTCTGAGTAAAACAGGTCCCCTGCCATTTCTTTACACATCATGCAACTCTTTGCACACATATCTAACTTATGTTTTCACCAAGAATGTGAATTCTTTATTCATTCCATAATCCAGTCACAAAACATTATTGAGTCCTAAATCTGTGCTGGGAATACATATTTCATTAAGGTGGGGGTGCTGCACTTATGTCTATGTCCTAAGACAAAGGAGGAAATGCTAAACATAATAGGTTGTCGTCTCTGACCTGCCCATCACAAGGCTCAGTGTCATGAAAGACATAGGTAGGCAAAACAGACAGGAGATGGGGATATTGACCTGTATTCTCTTTCTTTTCTTCTATCCAATGCAAACTTACATGCTAGAAAATTTCCTTAATGTTAATCCTGACAACTAAAATTTGTGTGTGATCATACAGGCCCTCATACACCATCTTCCACAAATGCATTCTTCTTTTTTTATCTTGTGAGTCCCTTGTTTCCTCAGACTACTCTTTAGAAATTATATATCTCTATCTTATTCTGCCTTAATTTCTGTCTCTGGGTCTACATATATATCTAGACATGTTATTTAGCTTTGAAAGAATCTGAGCCTATGTCAGGTGAGGTATGGAAGGATGGACGTTTCAAAGAGGGGAGACTGTAGCAAGAACCCAGGGTCTTATGCTTGGTTCACATCTCTGCTTTTATAATTCCCTCTGACACCAAAACACACACACACACACACACACACACACACACGGAAATGATATTCTACCTTTAGTTTCTATTTTGTTAAAACCTCTCGTTTCTTCTGAGCATAGTTGGTACAGGTGGAAAGCTTAAAAACTGCAAATACTAACAACACAGTGTATAGTATAACTTGAAAGAAACTATTTCCAAACAGAGGTCTTCTTATCCTTCTGATGACTTACATGAGGAATGCCACCAGCCTGTAGATCTTACCCATCCCCAATGAGGAAAGAATGGCTTTGCTTCCATTATAAGTCCAATATTACAAAGATCCCATAGCCAGGTAATCTAATATCAGAACCACCAGGATTAGTCAGAAACAAGTTATATCTTAAAATGCGTGAAAGAATTACCCCTCTAAAATTCTAGTACTAATGAAAGTATTCTTCAACAATGAAGACCAAAGAACAAGTGTTACTAACAAAAACTGATGGAATGTGTCAATATTAGGCCTGCACTAAAAGCAAAACTAAAAGTAGTCCTTTAGGCTGAAGGAAAATGAGCCAGGTAGAAACATAGAATTGCAGGAGGAATTGAACAGAAAAGCTAGATATGTGGATAAATATAAATAAATATTGGCTGAACAAAAGAAAAGCAAATGGAATTGAGCTGAAATGTTCTAATATTCTACTAGTGACCTTCAACATAGTTATCTAAGCTATGGCCATTCCCTACTCCATGTGCTTTTTATCCCTGCATCCATGAAATTAGGTTTTATCCCTTCAGAATGGAGTCAAGAGGCAAAGTAAGGTACTTTGTTCCTTCACACCCTGTCTACTTTATCTGGCTCTTGTCTGGATGTTTTGACTATAAGCTATAGTCAGTCACTCTATTAAACCTGTCACCTCAGCCTCCTGGCCATGGCTCTAGATCCCTGTTTCCTACAAACATGACACATATAACTGAATAGTGTGTCCTCATTCCATCATCAGCTTTCTCTCAATCCAAAGTGGATTTTTTTTTTTCTGTCTCACCTGCAATTTGCCCCTGATGTTAGCTTTTCCCACATTAGTATTTAGGTTAGTTTCCCTTCATATAGTCTGTATCTCCTCAGCCTTGCTGAGCTTGGCTAATTTAAGTTCCAAATTTAAAGGTGTTATGTAGAAATCTTATTTTGTTTCAACATTCTAGGAGATCATCCATCATAAGGAGAGCTCAGTACACACACCCAGAAGCCAACAGTTAGGAAAGATAAAGTTAGACCCAGTATACTTCTGTCAAAAGGAACTATGTATAGTTGGGGTATAGAGCTCTGAGATTGCTTTTAAAACATATAACCTACCAAAACTAAATCATGGAGAAATAGAAAGCCAAAGCAGACCCATAAATAGTGTAGAGATTAAGCCAGTCATGAAAAATCTCCCATTAAAGAAAAACCCAGTAACAGAGGGCTGCATTGGTGAATTCTACCAAATATTTGAAGAATTAACACTACTCCTTCTCAATCTTGTAAAAAAAAAATCGAAGAAGAGGGAACACTTTCAAACTCATTTTATGAGGCCAGGATTATCCTGATACTGAAGCCAAAGACATCATAAGAAAACTAGGATAATATCCCTGATGATCATAGCCATGAAAATCCTAACAAACCAAATCCAACAGCACATTAAAAGGATCATACACCACAACCAAGTAGGATTTATTCTGGGGGGTCTTATATATACAAAAATATAAAAAAAATCAATTAATGATGTGCCACATTAACAGAATAAGGAATTAAAAAAAATCAAGATTATCTCAATAGATGCAGAAAAAGCATTTGATAAAATTCAATATACTTATATGATAAAATCAAATAGTACTAGAAGAAAAACACATAAATTTGATAAAGGCTATATATGAAAAGTCTATAACATTCTCCATGTGAAAAACAAAGATTTTCTCCTAAAATCAGGAACAAGGCAAGAATGCCCACTCTTGCTAATTCTATTTAATGTAGTACTGGAAGTCCTGGCCAAAGCACTAACAAGAAATAAGAGGCATCCAAATTTGGTAAGGAAGTAGTAAAATTATCCTTTTGTCAGTGACAAATCTCATATATAATAAATCCCAAAGATGCCATAAAAATATTGTTAGAACAAACAAGTCAGGAAATTTACAGAATACAAAAATCAATATACAAAGAAAGTTGTGTTTGTATATACTAATTATCTTGAAATTAGTACAAGAATCCCATATATAATAGCACCAAAAAGAATAAAACAGTTAGGAATAAACTTATGAGGTAAAAGATTTAAATACTGAAAACTAAGGAATATTATTGAAAGAAATTAAACATGAAAAAACGGAAAGACCTCTTGTGTTCATGGATTGGAAGAATTAAAAAGTCCATAGTACCCAAAGCAACTTACAGATTCAATGCACCTCTATGAAAACCACAAATATTGTTTATGGACGTAGAAAAGAATTCCATAATTCACATGGAATTATAAAATGCTATGAATTGTCAGACAAATCCTGAGAAAAAGAACAAAGCTGGAGACAGCACACTTCTTGATTCCAAAAAGTATTACAAAACTATAGTAATCAAAATGGTATGGTACTGGCATAAACATAGATATATAGACTAATGACACAAAAAAAACCCAGGAATAAATCTACACAGATGATCAATTGATCCATGAACAAGGGTGTCAAGAATACACAATAGAGAAAACAGTCTCTTCAGCAAATGGTGAAGGGAAAATTGGGCATCTACATAAGGAAATTGTACTCCTATCTTACAGCATACGTGAAAATCAACTCAAAATGAATTAAAGACTAAACATAAGACATGAAGCTGTAAAACTCCTAGAAGATGACATAGGGGAAAATCTTCATGACCTTGGTCTTGGCAATGATTTCATGGAATGACATTTAAAGAAGAGGAAACAAAAGTAAAAGTCAACAAGTAGGACTATATCAAAATGAGAATTAAAAAGTAAGACTACATCAAAGTACACAGCAAAGAAGACAATCAACAGTAAAAAGCAACTATGGAATGGGAGAAAATATTTGCAAACCATGTATTTGATAGGAAGTTAATCTCTAAAAGCATAAGGAACTCTTACAGCTCAAACTAATAACCCCATTTTGAAATGGGCTAAGGACTTGAATTCACATTTCCTCAAAGAGGACATTCCGACGGCAAGCAGGTATGTGAAAAAATGCTTATGGTCACTAATTATTAGGGAAATGTATATCAAAACTACAATGAGGTATCACCTAACACCTGTCAGATTGGCTATTATCAAAGACAAGTGCTGGTGAAGAGAACACAGTGGAGAAATTGGAATTCTTGCACACACTGTGGATGGGAATGCAAAATAGTGCAGCTGCTATGGAAAACAGCACAAAAGTTTCTCAAAAAATTAAAAATGGAACTACCATATGATCTGGCACTTCTTGGTATATATCGAAAAAGAATTGAAGTCAGGATCTTGAAAAGATATTAGCACTCCTGTAGTCATTGCAGCATTACTCACAATAGCTGAGAAGTGGGAAAAAAAGCCTAGAAGTCCATCAACAGCTGAATGGATAAAGAAAATGTGGTATGCATATTTCATGAAATACTAATTAGCCTTAAAAAAGACATTCTGCAATATGCAACATTATGGATGGACCTTGAGTTTATTATGCTAAGTGAAATAAGCCAGACTCAGAAGGATAAATTCTGCAGGATTACACTAATATGAAGTATCTAAAATATTCAAATTCATAAAATCAAGGACTAGAATTATGGTTACCAGGAACTGGGGGGAGGGGAAATGGAAAATTATAGGCATAAAGTTTCAGCTAAGATGAATGTATACAAAATTGTACCTGTAGTCAATGTATTGTACACTTAAAATTTGTTAAGAGGATAGGTCTCAAGTGTTCTTATCACAATAAGACAAAATAAAGACAAAATTAAGTCAAAATTAAAAGAGCATCTTTCAAATTAAAGATAAAGTATCATGGGAAATTGTAGTAGTCGTCATCATCATCCATGGCAGACTCTCGTATAAGGTATAAACTAGTTCCTTTCTTGGGTCTTTGAAAAATAGCAGCATTGAGTCCAGTTGTAGGTAGAATATCACCTTTTATTATTTATAAGTGGTAATTATTAATAAGTAATTACATCATAATCATAATGGCTTCTCGATTATATAGTTAGTGATCTATTCTTCTTGTGGTTTAGGAAAAATTGGGATTATGATTTCCATTTTAGAGATAAGGAAACCCATCTGAGATCAGGGAAGTGCCATTCCAAAGTTACAAGCTGGAAATCCATGTCTAGCTGCAGCCAATATGTAACATGTATGCAAAGTAAGATCAGATATTTTTGCTTGGTTAGGCTGGAGTTCCTGCCCTTCCAGGTCACAAACAGGAATTGGCTTTGATTTATATGTTTAAATGAGTCTCTCTTTGTTAGGAGACACTGCAAGGATGGGGTAGAGGTAAACAGAAGCACATTAAAGACCAAGGCACAAGCAGGATTTACCTGAAGCACTCAGTGTCTGGAGAGTTAAGCATGACCCCTGGGAGGCATGATTTGAACCACAAAGAGGGAGGTGGCTTGGGCTGCAGCGAACTCAAGGGGTGGGAGCCCTGGGTCAGGGGAGTCCTCTTGTGTTTTTTAAAACAAGAGGTGACATGTGGGGAGTGGGGAAGGATAAGGACACTCTCAATTTCCTCCCATACCTAGTCCTGTTCCTAAGCATCAACTCCCTGCTCTCTCCCCAGTTCCTTTATTGCCTCTGTTTTGGCTCTTCAACGAAGGAGGCAGAAGTACTAAGAATCCAACCCAAATATTTTGTCTACAAACTCCAGAAACTCCCTTCACTATAGAGGATAACCAGAAACACTGGTTCACCTCCAAGAAGTTTTGGCTGATTATTCCTATGTGGATCCTATCATTTCTCACTTATCATTCCTCTTCCCACACTTACCAGTATCCCTGGGCCCAGTTAGGAGGCTTCTGCATTAGTCAAGAGAGAAAATGAGCCTGAACTAGAAAGATACAGGGAAAGGTAAGAAATATATATTTTTGAATAATGATGTGTTAATTGAAACATGCTGTTCAACCATTGTCTACTGGTCTCTTCCTTCTAGAGAATGAGTGTTAAGGGAAGAGATAGGAGCCATTAACTTGGGCATTATTCTTTAAAACAGTCTTTAAAGTGACCTCTGCTACAATGATAAGCTCTACAGGAAATCATTTTGCAATGCCATTTCAAATATAAGGAGACAAAATCATCTTGGTAATAATATGCTCTTGGAAATTCACAATTTTTCATAATACATCAAAATAAGTCAAAGAAATGAAAGAAAACAAATGTGATTTCTGAAACAGATCCAAATAAGGTATCATGATACAGTAGGTGATAGGGACTGATTTTAGAAGTTTGCATAAATTCTAACAGTGCGAACTCTTGGTTAATGAGCATCAGCAAAGACTTTCTAATGGCATTTACTTTCTTAGGCTCCTCTGTAATAAAAACTCACATTTTGTTATATTGTCTATGAATTCAATCATTTTATAGATGAATATTTGTACTTGGAAATAAATTTTTAAATCTTGCAGACAGGAAAATATGTGAGCACTTGTATAAATTTGAGTCCATTCCCTAGAAGTTCTATAGATAAAAATATCCATAAACTTTAAAATCTTTTACTATTCCCTAGGGCCTGCCTAGAGCAAGCAGATAAATACTTTGTAAACTTTAATCCCCCCTCCCCCCTTTTCCTGAGTTCCAAGTTCTTCCAGGGTTGCTGATGGGGTAATCATACTGGCCCCTTTTATCTGAATGGCTCAACGAGAAATATTTCTTATAGGTTCCTCTCCCACAAGCCACATCCTTGAAGGACCTTAGGTGACTATCTTCCTGTTTGAGTCTTAATCTTTCAAATCCATCATTCTGATATCTTTTAAGGATATATTTTATTGACTTTAAAATAGATGCACGCATTAACTGAGTACTTTCTGTGTATGAGACCCCTCTAAACAATTTTAGGAGAAAAAACAAATAGACAAGTTCTATTGTCTAGAGTGGTCATTTTAGCTCTTGAAATAGTACAAACAGGATAAAATGTTAACTACAAAAACAGGTTCCCATGTTCTGGATATTAGGGGAAGGTGACTGGCTCCATTATGCTCCCACTCTGAGACTGTGAATCTGAGAGGTAGGGTTCATGCACTGTTGAACACAGAGTGTTCAGACCTGATCAAAGAAGGGAGAATATTAATTTTTTAAAAGTGTAGTTTTATGGAGGAAGAGAGAGATACACTTATATGACAAATAAGGCTCAGCAAATCCTGATTGTACAAAAGGATTTTATATATAATCCCACTTACTCTTCCCTATAATCCTTACATAAAAACAGAGCATTGCTATTCCTTATTTAGAGAGGAAGAAACAGGGGCTTGGAGATAAGGACTTGTGCTTAAAAAAAAACCCCCACATTAACTGTATCCCATAAGAGAAGAAAGATCGCATAAAAACTGGGCCACTCCAGTGTTTAATGATTTGAAAAAATAAAAATGAGCTAGAGGGAAAGATAAAAATTGTTGATATTACCCAGTGATCCAAAAGAATTAAAGCACGCCATTTGCAACAATGTGGATGAAACTAGAGTGTATTATGCTAAGCAAAATAAGTCAGACAAATATTGTATGATTTCACTTATACGAAAACAGATGAACATAGGGGAAGGGAAGGAAAAAGGATAAAAACAGAGTGAGGCAAACCATAAAAGACTCAAATACAGAGAACAAACTGAGGGTTGCTTGAGGAGGAGTGGGTAGGGGGATGGGCAGGCATTAAGGAGGGCACTTGGGTTGAGCATTGGGTGTTATACATAAGCGATGAATCACTAAATTCTATTCCTGAAACCAATACTACACGATATGTTAACTAACTTGAATTTAAATAGTAAAAAAAATAGCATTCTTGCTAAAGATGAGAGTTCTTTTATGAGGAGAATGAAGAAGCTGTGAGGAGAATGCAGGGAGAGCCACATGAATAGGGAGTTTAACATGAATTTAGATGGAGAACCAAAAGACACAGCAGCTCATTTTCTCAGTAAGCTAGAGGCAAGGCTGTACTTACAGAGATTTGTGAATGTGGAGAGGACCTGAAAGATATATTCCAGAGCAGTTCTTTCCTATAGAACTTTCTGCAATGATGGAAATATTCTGTATCTGAACAGTCCAATATGCTAGCTACTAGTCATGTGTGTCTGTTAAGCACTTAAAAGTGTTGTGACTGAGATATTGAATAATTTTAATCAAATTTAAATAGTCACATGTGACTAGTGGCAACCATATCTCAGAGTAGTGCTAGAGAAAACAGATTTTGTAATAAATCGGGGCATTACAAACTGCAAGCTTTATTCAACTTATACAGACACTCAAGGCCTGAGATTTCAGGACAGTAAATTGGTTTTTGTGATTGTTAGCTTAGCTTGATCATCATGTACAAATGTGTGTTCTAAAACAATGAATTAGTTCAAACATATTTTCACTTCTTTTATCAGGGTATTCTTGATGTCACCATGAACACAGAAAACACTACCTTTTCTCCATTTCTTTATGTAAGGTGTCTTGTAATATCAATTCTAATGATGTTTTATGTTCTATCTACTCAATGAGATTCAAAGTTCCTTAAGGGTAGAAAACATGGATTATACTTATCCAGGTCTATGAGGACTACTAACCAATTTTGTTTAAAGTTTAGCAACAGGAACAAGAGCTAATTCTCTCTCTATATATATAGAAGGTGAAGGAGCCCTGTAAAAATAGACAAGGAAGATATCAAAAAACCATGACAGCCTCCAATATTACCACAACCCATCCAACTTCCTTCCTGCTGGTAGGAATTCCAGGTTTGGAACACCTGCATGTCTGGATCTCTATTCCATTCTCCTTCGCCTATACTCTGGCCCTGCTAGGCAACTGCACCCTCCTCTTCATCATCCAGACCGATGCAGCCCTCCATGAGCCCATGTACCTCTTTCTGGCCATGCTGGCAGTCATTGATCTGGTTCTCTCTTCTACAACACTTCCCAAAATGCTAGCTATTTTTTGGTTCAGAGATCAGGAGATCAACTTCTATGCCTGTCTGGTCCAGATGTTCTTTCTCCACTCCTTCTCG